CCCCCCCAGCCCCCGCCTCCTCAGCCGCAGCCAGTGGCGGTTCAAAACGCTAACGCGCCCCCTCCGTTTCTGAGCAAGACGTACGGCATGGTCGATGATCCCGCCACCGATTCGATTGTGTCGTGGAGCCGTACCAACAACAGCTTCGTCGTTTGGAATCCGCCGGATTTCGCTCGAGATCTTCTTCCCAAGTACTTCAAGCACAATAATTTTTCCAGCTTCGTCAGACAGCTCAATACCTACGTATTTCCTCTTACTGTCGCTTTTTTTTTCATCCTTTCTCGATGCGAACTATACGTTCATGTGGAATTTGGAATTGTTACTCAATAGAATTTTTTTGGTCCATGTGATTCTCAAATTAATTTTTGCCAATTTGCAGAGGAATCGAGTTAGTTTTTGGGGGTATCTTCTTAGAGCTTCGTTGTCCTGTTTCCTTCTGAATACTCTGACTCTCCATTTACGAGTTCTGTGTGGTGACCTCTGGTTATTGGGGTTCTTGCGTATTTTGACTCGTCATCTTTGAATCGCAATATTATTAACAGAGATGCAGTTGATGATTAGGAGTAGTTGAGGAGGTTCAAAGAGGGAGATGTGGCTCTGCCTTGCGAGGATCTGTTTTAAATCAAGTAATAGAGGCTCTCTGTGACAGTGTATTTTTCATGTTTTAGGTGAATAAAAGACGGATATGGTCTGTAAGCCTGTTACAGTAGACTTCCCTGCATGTAGAGAAGGATTAGCTTGGGTTAACTATACTCGGAGCCCTTGTCTGGCTTTTAGAAATTTGAAATTAGTACAAAGGTTTGGCCTTTGATGTATTTTCCTTGTGTTTAAACTCCACGAAATGAGTGGTAATTCTGAGATTGTAATAACTCTTCCTGCATTTTTCTCAGCGACATAAAGACGAAGAAGGAAGAAAATAGGAAAAGAGAACAAATCTCATGTCGATCATGGCCTCAGTGCAAGCCTATAAACTTCTCTGTTACTACTACGGTCCCTATTTTTGTGCACGGATCAGGGTTTGTAGAGACAGGTAGTCTTCAGAAACTAGTACACCCTAAAGTCCCAGTCCCAGTTTGTTTCATTTTCCAAATCTGGGATGTAACTGCTGGTGCTTATCATATATCACTAGCTGTCAACTACTAGATATATGGGTGTTTGGTGTTGCAAGCTTTGCACATAAATTTCTTCCTTATGGCAGTTGCAACCTTTCAGGAATCGATCAAGTGTTGTAATCTTGTAGTGCATATCATTACAACCCTTCATTGATTGGCTCTTTATTATTTTGATTTAGGTAAGTTATTATCTGCTTATATTTGCATGTGCATAATTTGTAGTTGACTTGGATTTAGCTTATATTGTGTATGTGGTATGAATTTCGTATTTATAACATCCAGGTGCCATATGCAATCCCTATTATTTTTATTGTTTCTAGTGCCTTGGATAAAGCTTGAGCTTGTATATCATAGAAAGTTTAGACTCTCTTAAGTCGTTATCCTTCCTAGAGGTTCTTCCTGTCTTTCTGGTTTGGCTTTTGGAAGAATGCCATCTCGGAAGCAGAACATGTGTATGCTAATTTCTGTATTTCATTTGTCGGTCAGGTCAAGCCGGGTGCTATGCTTTACTTCTGATTAAATTGATTCTGAAACATATGATTCTTGTGCATAATTGTGCTTCTGTCTATGTTAACTTTGCCTGTCTCAACTTTTTTGGGTAGCTAGCATTTAAGTTTCTACAGACAATTTTAAGGTTTGTCCTATTGAAATCCATGTATTCATGGGCTCCTTTCTCATTCTTTTTGGGGTTGACCTTTGTGATCAATGATTATTCCATTGGCATGCCCATTTTTGTGTAACAGGGCTTCAGGAAGGTTGACCCTGATCTTCGGGAATTCGCAAACGAAGGTTTCTTAAGGGGTCAAAAACACCTACTAAAAACAATTACTAGACGAAAACCTGCCCATGGGCATGGACATCAGCATTCACATGGACAGAGCTCATCTGTTGGTGCATGTGTTGAAGTTGGAAAATTTGGTCTCGAAGAAGAGGTTGAGAGGCTTAAAAGGGACAAAAATGTCCTCATGCAGGCACTCGTTAGATTAAGACAGCAGCAACAAAGCACTGACAACCAACTTCAAACAATGATCCAACGTCTTCAGGGCATGGAGCAGCGGCAGCAGCATATAATGTCATTCCTTGCAAAGGCCGTACAGAGCCCTCATTTTCTTGCTCAGTTTCTACAGCCGCAGCAGCAAAATGAGAGTAATAGGCGCATTAGTGAAGCCAATAAGAAGCGAAGGTTGAAGAAGGGAGGGATTACTGAGAACCAGAGTGCTGCTTCTCCTGATGGTCAGATTGTGAAATATCAACCTCCAATGCACGAGCAAGCAGAAGCAATGTTCAGACAGCTAATGAAGATGGAACCTTATAGAAGCAGTGATGAATCTTTCCTTCCGGGTAATGATACTCCTTCAATGGGGATAGAGACGGAGACTTCATCGATCCATGTATCAGGTGTGACTCTTCAGGAGATGCCACCAACTTCCTTCCCTCATCCATCAGCAACTGTTTCTGAAATACATTCATCATCACCGAGTGGAACAACTCCCAACAAGGTTACAGTTGCTAAGTTTGCAGACCTCGGTGGGTATGCACCACCAGAAGAAGCAAACAGGGAGTCTGTTCCTTCCCCTGATCTGGCTCTGCCTGATTTTTCTGAAATGCTACCAGACAGTAGTGTTGACGTTCCTGCAGATAGTTTCATGGAGCCAGATACTGGTTCTTGTGCATTCGAGGACCTTGATTCGTTGGTGAATGGCTCTTTGCCCTTTGACATTGATGACATTCCTCCCGATGCCGAGATAGACCCCTTGGTTGATTACTCTACTCTCCTGGAAGACTATCTCGTTCAAGCCCGGTGCCAGATGATATTATGGATTCAGCACCGGCAGATGCAACAACCGAGAAGAAGCAAAATGGACGGGACAAAGCCAAGCACATAGGCAAGCTGACTGAACAGATGGGCCTTCTCTCGCCTGAGATCAAGAACTTTCCGCCAAGGTAAAAACTACTCCTTCATGGTGGGTTGTTTTGAATTTTCAGTCAAAATCCCAAATTCACCGTGATGAGTTTTGCGAACAAAATGGTTCAGAATTATTTAGACTGACAAGTTTGATTCCACGTTTAACTTGAGCTTGCATCTCTGTGTGTAAAATATCCTTCTGTCATTCAGGCAAGATCCCTGATCCTTGGATGTCTCCAAGTCTTTCGAGGTAAGAACATTGTCCCTCCTGGGACTTCAATTCACTCTGATCTGAATAATATCTCAGATGCTTCTCCCCTTTCTCTGGAACCTTTTTGATAAGATTCTGTCTGACATGATCATCCCGGGAATCTGTGTTGAAGTTTTCCTCTCGGGGGTCCTCTGTGAATCCCCTTTGTTACAAGAGAAAGCAACGCGGACCATTTGTTAAGAAGTCAGAATCTAGGTCTGGGGGTGGAACAGGATCAAATCGATTTGAGGTACTTCTCGATAGCTCACCCAATCTCTTACAATTTTTTGCTCCGCCTTTGGAGTCTAGAAAGCAATGGATGCATAAACGATCTGATACATTTTTTTAAAAAAAAATTGTGAGATCATATGATGAACTGAACAAAGGCCGCCAGTAACTATTTCTTCTTGTCGCATCCCCTTGTAGGAGGGGTAATGCCTGCAGGCCGTAGAAACTTGCCATGCCAGCAACCCATCGTGTGGAGAGCCTCTCTCTCCATTGCCAAGCAGATTTCTTCCTTCTTTGGTCTCGGAAATGGCGTAGCCATGTGAGTGACGATGAATCTCGAGAGATTTGGTAGGAAAAAAGGTACACTTGCTGGTCTAACAGTATGTATGTATGTATGTATGTATGTATGTATGTATGTATGTATGTATGTATGTATGTATGTATGTATGTATGTATGTATGTATGTATGTATGTATGTATGTATGTATGTATGTATGTATGTATGTATGTATATACATGTGTGAGTCTGTGGTTACCAACCTTGATTTTCTCTAATTTTGTTTTTTGGTCGTAAATTTTGTGTGGGTCACATCATATTTAGTGCTTTACAAGAAACATTTCTAATGAAATTATAGATTTTGTCCCATTCGTATTTACTAACCATAGATGGAGGTGGCTCGGAATTATACTGGGCGGGCTGATTGAAGCATATGTTAGGCCCAATTACATAATGGGCCTACCATCGAACTATTTTTTGTTAATGACGAGGGTATTTTTGTAATTCCTTGGTATTAGTATTAGGTACAATTATTCCTTTTGGGTAGAATGGCGTGGATTAGGAATGAGAAAGAAAATCGTGATAGCAATGGCATAGTCTTGTTGTCACCCAGGACTCAAGATAATTATGCTTTTTATTTAATTCACTAATTGTGTATAATGCCACATAATATTCTGCAAAACTATTTGATGCGAAATAGAAGTTGAACTACCAAACAGTTTTGTGGGAAATAGTGGGTTTATGTATTATGATCTCGACAAATTAATTACCACAAAAGTAATGATGATTTTTCAAATTCCAAATCTTTAATTGATTAAAATCAAAGGAAACTATACATTCACACACATGTTTGTTTTTTGAAAAGGAAAGATGATGTTTCAACAAGGCACCATTCAGTGGGACACAACAAACATGCAAACGAAGAATTGCAATGAGATTAGCATTTGTAATTTTCATATGATATGATTGTGTAGAACTGAAAATGGCTAGGAAAGGAACTTGGCAAGGATGACTCCGGATCGATCAGAGGGTTACAAGGGCAAGAGAGTAATTGTCCAAGAAAAACCCTAGCGAGCAGAGCCAAAGTGAATCATCATCATGTGATGGTGGACTCATTATTGTATAAGCTAAATTTGCTTTGTTTTGCTTTTTTATTTTTTCCTTCTCTCTCCCAATCTCTCTTTTTATCTTTTTTTTTTCTCTGTTCTTCTTTTATCACCTTTTTTAAAAAATCAGTGTGCTTCTTTTTGGAATGAATTTAGGGTTTGTAAAAAGGAGCAATCAACCTCGGGTTTCAATTAAACATTGCAAGAGCGTGTGGGTTGTTAAAAAAGAAACAACCATGCCAAAGTTTTCACCTTTTTTTTTTTTTTAATCGAGTTCTATATTTTTTTAATCCAATTAATAATGCACATTTATGGCACAGGTTCCAATTTTTTTTTTTATTAAATTTCTACCATCCTATATATGCGATAAAACTGTATACTTGATGTAAGATATATATTAACACATGTTAAACAGCTCATTAGTAAACAAACTGAACTGCCTTGTAATTGTTGCAATCTATGACATGATATTGATCTATTTGGCTTTTCGGTATACCCTTCCTTCTCACGTTAACAAAATACTCTTTGATCCTTCAGATTTCGCACTAGTCGGAAAATCTCGCAAGAGAAAAGGCAAACTTTAAATTTTGACTGCTTTTGGTTATGATTTCTAAATGTCTATGACTGTTTTAGTATTAATTCAGGTTTTGTCTACATGAATTCTATTATCTGTACTTAGTGATATTATCTCATTGTCTTCCCTATTGTAAGAATATTTATATTTATACATTTACGGTTAACAAAAAAAATAAAAAAAAAAGCAATATATAAGAAAAGAAACGAAATAAAAAAAGGGTTCAAAAAGATATAAAGGAATTATTGCTTTTTGCTCCAAAGAAAACAAAAGGGTGCAGAGAAAGAAGGAAGGAATTATTGCTCTTCTCTTCTTCCATTTCTTCGTCACTTTGCTCATCATCCCTTTTATTAACCTAGCTTCCCTAAAACCCCCATGTCCTCTCTCTCTCTCTCTCTCTCTCTCCCAATTACTGTGTGTCATTTTCTCACCTAGACTTCACACAAAAGAAACAACCATTCATGCAATGAATACCTTGTCATTTCTTCTTCTTCCTTTCTCTCTCCATATCTCAACAAATCTCCCAAACAAGAACACACTTTGATCAATATTCTCAAGAAAATCCAGACATCTCCCCAAAAAAACAGAATACCCTTTTTATCCATACCCATAAAGACGCTTCTTCTTTTCTTCTCCTCCACCTCAGTAAAACAAGAACCGGCCGGGCTTCATTCTGAGAGCTCACACAGCCAGAAAGAATCAAAAGGGCGCGGCTACAATCATGGAGCTGTTTCCTGCTCAACCGGATTTGTCCCTACAGATCCATCCTCCGGATAGAAAACTAACGTCGACGTGGCAGAGAAGACCGGCAGAAGAAGCTGGGGATCTTGATTTAGGGTTTTGGAGAAGAGCTTTGGAACCTTCCGATTCGAAAACCGACTCTTCGACAGAACCGAACTCATCGCCTCTATCCCGTTTTCTCCCGAATTGCAATGGCTCCGACGCCTTGAACTCGTTTCAATTTCAGACACGAGAGAAAGAACAAGTGTTTCAAGAACAACAAAATCAAGAACTACGACATGGGGTTCTTCTTATTCAAGATCTCAACTTCTTAAGACCGATACGAGGAGTCCCACTTTACCAAAATCCTCCTCCACCACAGTGTTTCCCTTTCGATCCTTCTTCTCCATGTGTAAACAACCTTAGTGCTTGTACTAACTCCGGTTTACAAAACCCTAATTATCACCCTAACCATCACCTCCAACACCGTCATCATCATCATCATCATCGGGGACTGATGACAAACAATCAGTCAAGATTAATGCCACGATTTCCGGCGAAGAGAAGCATGAGAGCTCCTCGGATGCGGTGGACGACCACTCTCCATGCTCGGTTCGTCCACGCCGTCCAATTGCTCGGCGGCCATGAAAGTATGTCGACCCTGAAAATTAATCAAATCTTTCTCCTTTATTCAAATTCCTAATTATCAAATCGTTTTCCGCTTCATTTTTTTAACCATTATAGGAGCAACACCCAAATCGGTTCTTGAGCTCATGGATGTAAAAGACCTTACCTTGGCTCATGTCAAGTCTCATTTGCAGGTAATCGTCAGTTTATTCTATTAATTGATTTGCCTCCTCGAAAGAACACAAATCTCAATTTTGTTCAAAAAAAAAAGTTGATCTTTTCCTCAAATCCTTGGCACTTCGTTTTCTTTCTAGATCTGATGGTCGACCTGCAAGATGATAGACATGTTTTTTTTTCTTTGTTTTCTTGCAAAAAAAAAAAAGAAGATTTGTATTGTAATAAGTAAACAAAATTATTCAATATTACTATTACTGACACACATAGAGAGAGAGAGAGAGAAGTAAAAATGTTTTATTTTTATCGGTTTCAGAGAACAAGAAAGACAAAACTAAGCCCTAAAACATTCATGAAAACGTGCCATTAATCTTCTTTATATTCGTTTTTCTTGGTAATTTATATGCCAAAGTTAGATTTATATCTTTAGAATAAAATGGGTTTTCTCGAGAATATATGAACAACTTAAATACTTTTTTTTTGGTTAATTAATGTCACATCTGATTACTCAATTTTTATTATGCATAGTTTTGAGTATTTTTGTATTCTTATTCGGTATATCATGGAAATAGAGAGAAAGGTAAAGTACAGAAACGCCATCATTTCTCAATGATGACATGATCTTCTCTCCACCGTAGCCAGAGAGAAGTGGGTCGGGATTTAACTCAACCACGGTCCACCTTTAACGGATCAGGTTTTAACCATGGTCATTCGTACGCAAAATGAATTCATGCATGGACATGAAAATTACGAATCGCATTAATGATGATATTTAATGCTTCTGTGCCCCAATAGTTAATTTCCATTATCTTCCAATGCATGCATATATGCTTTCAGGATTTCTTAGTACTGTGCACTTGTGCCCGAATACACCTTGTTGTCTTTGGCTCTATCCAAGGTGACCATTTCGGTTTTCGGTGGTTATTATTCGTATTTGGTTATTTAAGTTATAGAAAAACTATATCCATGTTTTTATAATTGAATTCGATTCGATTAAGATTCGGTTTTTTATTGACAATTTTTTTAAAAGGAATTTTCAATTTTTTCAGTTATCTTTTATATTCTATTCTATTCGGTTATTTTTTATAGGTTTAAAAAAGTTATAACCATTTGATTTTTATATCGAATTCAATTCGGTTAAAGTTATCTCTTTTTCGGTTAATAGCCAAAATGGTCCTCCCTAACTCTATCTTTGATACCGCCGAATAGCACGGTGGTCTACTTTCTGTGTGTGCGTGTATGCATATGAGGTTAAGACAAAACATAATTAACAGTTACGGGTCTGGCAGAGCTTTTTCTAATTGAATATCGCACGATCTTTTTAAATAATTTATCGTATTTGCTTGTGGTGAAATCAGATGTACCGGACAGTGAAGACCACCGACAAAGCTGCAGTTTCATCAGGTTTTTCCTTTTTGGCTCTCTCTATAATTACGTTTATCGTCGGACAAAATTTATATATATTTGTATAAAACATTATTAAAAAAAAAACCCTAATCTGAATTATTCAACATTGTTTAAAGGGCAATCCGATGTCTGTGAAAACGGATCTTCGGGAGACAACTCAGACGATTGGATATCTAGCCGTGACAGCGGAAAACATGGTCGTGGTCTATGGTGCAACTCCTCGGGGTAATTAAGTCATTATTCGTACGTATATACATATTTACATGAACAAGTATAACTAGATATCTATGCTTATATATATCTTAATATTTGTTAGTCCGTAAGCCTTACGTACTGCGTGGGGACGCTCATTGCGTGCGCGTATATATGCACGACATACGTATGCATTTTCCGCCGTTAGTTTCGTACGTGTACGAAAATACACACACGTAGACGTAGATACGTACATTTATACAGAAAATGCCATGACAAGCCCGAATATTTTCGACACGCGTTCTGTTTGTATAAACAGATTCCATCTGGGTATGTATGTAAAAAAAGCAGCATATACGCGTATGTACGTTTGTATGCATGTACGGCATGAGAGAGAGAGAGAGAGAGAGAGAGAGAGAAACGAGAGTTACATGCAACTAGGAAACAGGTTTGTTTGCCTTTTTGTTCTGTGTTCTGTCTATTTGTGTCTGTTAACAACACACCGTTGGAACTTAAAGAATTCATGATGGTTTAATGATTCATCACGATGGTCTCTCTCTCTCTCTCTCTATATATATATATATATATATATATCCCCACTCCATAAGTAAAATAATTTAAATGGAAAAAGAGGCGAAGAAAAAGGAGAGAATTAGTAAAAAAAAAAAGAAACCCACCCCGTTATTGTTCCTAGAAAAACTAAGGAGTCCCTTATTATATATGCGCGTGTATTCTACATGAATGCATCATATATGATACATATGGTGTATTAATTGTGTTGAAAGCTTTTCGTTTTTTGTTTTTAAATATATATATATATATAGAAATAAATATTCATTACATGACACCTTCCTTTTTCTCTTTTTTTTTTTTGGTTCAAAGGTAAAATTTTCTTCCCTTGCTTTCTCTCCTTCTTCCTCTCTCTCCATTTTCCCCTTTATTCTTTTTTTTTTTTGGTAAAATCTTCTTTTTGTTTGGCTATTTTATTTTATCTCTTTTCGACGTGCATGGCTTACGGTCTGAATCTGATCGCAATTACTCTTTCGCTCTAGCTTTCTTTTCTCTGTCTAATCTCACGAGTATCCTTTTTGTTGGCTTTTGCAGTGAGGTACTGTTGCATGGGATGCCGAACGACACTGTTGGAGAAAATACACTGCCCTCTCAGGTACGAAGTCTCTTTCCCAGATTGTCCTTCTTTATTTATATATGTATACATACATACATATATATATACCCATATATTGTATGTGCGTATATATATATATATATTCATGCATATATATGAAAGACTCGGCAAAGGACGAATATATAGGCGAAGAGAAATAAAACGTGATATATCAAATGACTACGTATATATTTTTCTTTTCCATTTCTGCTGGTCATAGAACTTGTGGAACAAAGGGCTTTTCTCAAAGCTGGCTCTAGGCCCTTTCAAATGCAAAAGGATATTTTCGTCATTTCGATAAGTAGTGTGATTTTTCCGTACACCGTCCCTAGATAAAAAAAACCCTAACCCCATTGACCATGAGCCCGTGTTGACTTTGAGAGGCACAGAGAGCTTGGTGCCATTACCTAAACAAATTGGTACCAAGCAATTAATTTGTTATTGCGTAGCCATGTAGTTTTAGAGAGTATTTTTTTTTATTTGATAGATTTTGTTTTAGATTTTTAGGTAATTTTTAAAAAATATTTCCAATTTCACTCTTAATTAATATATTCAACTTCAATAAAAATATTAATAAAAACATGATTTAATGAGGGTATATAAGATTTTTTATGTTTTCTTAAAAAATGGAAAAAATCTAAAACGTTATATATAGGATCGATGCAAAAACGAACGGGCTCACGAACTATATCGTGTGTCGACTGAGCTAATCCGTGTCGACCTCAGTTCATGATGGGTTGGCTCGCCATAGCCTGTTTTTTTTTTTTTGGGTTCATATGATTTTTTCTAACCCAATTTAGTAAAACGAGTTGTTTCGGACAATACTCGTTTCGCATGCATCCATATATTACATTGACGAAATAATTTGTGTTGCCATTAACGATAAGAACCGTGCATTGATAAGGAAATTGTTAGTTGCCTTTAAGATGTGTTTTTTTTATAGTGTGCAACACTAGCCTTAGATCTTATGAATTATGATACTATCTTTCATAATGTGGGCTTAATTAAAGCGGTATATATAAATGGTTTAATAGTGAATATTATGGACATATATAAGTATATCGTGTTTCCTAATTAGATTATGAGAGTCATTCTTGAGTCATGACTATAATAAATTAACTTTATATGTGTATATATTTTTCATATAATGGAAAATGCCAAGGAATCAAATAATTCCGCAACACTTATATCATAATTAATCATTTTTTTTTTTGTTGTCGGTCCGAACAGAAGGAAATGGATCCAAAGTGCTCAAGTTATGAGAGAATATCATCAGAAGAGAGAAGCTCATCAAGCATCGTCTCAGCAACAAGCCCCTCACAGCCAAATCTCGAGTTTACTTTGGGCAGGCCTCAATAGCTTGTTTTCACTTTTTACTATTAACAGCTAAAATTAATTACTAATATCCATATTTAATACGTACACTTTTTTTTTGTAATTTTAATTTTGCTGCCCTTTTGTTGGAAGGGAAAAAAAAATGTGAGCTTTTTTTTTTTTTTTAATTGTTGTTGTGTGTATGTGAGGAGGCCGAGAAGTGGAAAGATCGAGTTCAACGCTAAGGATTAATTAAAAACAGATGCATAAATGTAATCCTTGGAAAACTAAAACTGAGGTTTGCTATATACACTCATGCATAAATACATGATTTATATAATGTTCATAGAGTTTTTTTTTTTTTGGGGAATTAAAGCAACATATAAACTCAAATCGTTTTCACATCAAAGAATGTAAAGAAAATTTTGGATCATATAAGTGACAAAAATTAAAAAAAAAAAAAGGAAAAAGCATAGAATATAAAGTAACGGACAACAAAGATAAAGATGTATTAAAAAAGAGAGAAAAAAGGTAAAGTTATGAGAGGGAAAAAAAAGAGAATAGAAATTAAATTTTATTGGAATAAATAATTGATCTAAACGTGAAAATCTGGTTGATATCGAGAGAACTTAACCACACAGACAGAAGTCGTACCAAGGACTGCATGGTAATTGCAACGTACTGCTTGATAAATATATTTTCCAAATAAACTTATTTTATTATTAAAAAGCCATATTTTTAATGATATAATATCCTATAAAAGTTTCTTGTAGTGGATTGAACAATAACACGTAAAAGGGTATATGATATAGTGCGTTGACATGCATTCTACAAATTCTCTCTCGTTAAATTCAACACTTGGAATTTTCTTATTTTTTTAGATTTGTGAACGCATTTATCAACTTCTTTTAAGATACTCGAATCGGTAAGACTTTGAATCTCTCCAAATTACCCATTGTTTTTTTAAAATGTGATTTAATAGATCGAGTTAGAAATTATATATGTCAACTTTCTATAATTAAGGAATCACACCCAACCTAGGTAGTTCAACTAGTGAAACGGTGCGTAAAGCGTCTGTCTCGCCCCGAGTTCGAATCTCAGACTGGAAAGAAAACGCATAATTCAAATCACATTGCTGGCTCCCGACCCCGGGATTAGTTTAGATCTCGGCCCAGAAAACCCGATTACCCAAAAAAAAAAGTAATATCGATCGATATGGCTCTTTTATAAGTTCAGAATAATGTATTTAGTAGTGCTGGTTCCTCACTTCCCACAACGTATACTATGAAATGGCTTAAAATATATTGAAAAACGTCGATACTATTTATAATTAACCGTCTCAAAATAAAAATTGAATAAAATTTTCAATAAATGGAATCAATAATAATCAATAACTAAGCATCTTGTCGGTGAATTCCATTAAGATATAGGTATTGTAGTGTATAAATTTTTTCATTGTCACGTGTAATGCGAAAAACGGAAACCACAATATTATTATTATGATAATTGATAAAAAGGCAAAACATAATGTGAGAACAGTTGAAAAATTACAGTAAATAAAAGGCAACGGCAAAAGATTATAATAATTTCTGCACACCAATAAATTATTACAAGCTCTTTTTTTTTCCAACTTTTCCCAAATCATAACAATGTGGGACAAGAATTAGATGATAAAATCACTGTTAATTCATAATTGGAAAATTATTGTGATGAATGATATATATATATATATATATATATAGAGAGAGAGAGAGAGAGAGAGAGAGAGATTTGAGTATGAGAGAAATATAAGGGACAGGTGAAAGGAAAGGTGGGAGCAGCACAAGTTAAGTTATGCAGTCTCCACGTGAAATGACTCTCATAGAATATAGAGAAAAGGTTGACCCTACAAAATTTAAGTAATAATAAAATAAATATATAGCATCGATCGGGGGTCAGTCCATTTTATTTTACTTTCACAAGACTTTGTCATGGCTCAAAAGTATCCTCAACATAACCATTTAAATCAATATATTAAAGTGTTTAGCACCGATTATAAATAATGAATACAATCAAACGATAACATCAACCAACATATATATGTATATATGCATACGAAATTGTCAATAGAAACAATTCTAAAAAAGAAACTGATTTTGAAGGAATATCATGTATACTCTATACATGATTGATATATAAGATACGATAAGTTATAAAAAATAATTTTGTATTATATATTATTTTTTTGAATGATATTCGATTTCAACTATATATTTAGAAAGATCGGTTAAATTATCATCTAATACACTTGAATCTAAGTTGAGATCATTTTTAACATTGGACCACCAATCCTTGGTGTATTATAAAAATAAAACCGAATTTAATAAACAATAAAAAATACATTAACAATAAAAAAAGATTTTTTTAAAGCCTTGGCTTCTGAAACATTGCTTTGCAGTTTGCATCTGTGTTCTGAGCAAAGACTGAATCACGGCTCGATTATTTACTGTCACCCGGGACAGAGAAAGAGCTCATGGAATGTCAAAAGCATTTCATTATTAATCCATCATTACATTATCATTCACTTGGGGGCCCATTCTCACGTCCACGTGTCGTAATCTTGACGCCTCGATGCTGACCTCTGCTCGTCTCTCAGCCGTCGGATCTCATTGCCAAATATTTGAAGATGTTCCTCTGTTCAACAAGAAAGTGACCTGTGAAGTTGACACACCTTGTTTTTTACCTCTTGGGAAAATCTTTTTTGAATACTTATTGAAAATGTAATGAAAGTTTTGATTAAACCATAATATATATATATATATATCTAGGGGTTACATGTTGACATCTATATTGATAAGCTTATTCAAATATAAAGCTTTTTCTGTAATATTATCTGAAAATATACAGTTCAACTAAACTTTAGCATATATTTTTATTAAAAGAAAAAACTGGCCATTAGGCAGAAACGATCTTTCGTTGGGTTTGTAGGTTTCTCAAAAGATCACTCTTAAGTTGTTTGTGTATATATGTATACACAAGTTATAATTAATAATCATAATTTTAAATAAATAATAAGAAAAGGAAAAGTGCTGAGTCATGCGTTTTGCAGTGTTTGTTTGAGTAGCTCGAGGGCACTTTGCATGGGGAAGAAGAAGGCTGCACCGTGGGACCTACGATGTTATATCAAACGTCAATATGGGAGAAAAATTCATGAACATTTTTGTATGTAACTTTTTATTTACGTGAATGTATCCACTCTTACCTTTTTTTAAATAAATATATACACTTTTGACTTAGACTTACTCCCGTGGGCGTTGGAGGAAGATATATATACATATATAAATAAAAGATTTTACCCACAAAATTTTTTTTTATAAAAAAATATATATGTATATACCAAACAAATCCGAGGGAAATATAAATATTTTCTTACAATTAAGGTCCACTAAAGCTCCTAATTTTAATTTTATATGGGCTCAGTATCGGCCCATTTATATGTACGTTTGCATTCTGGAGAATAAGGGCCCAAATATAATATTCTTAGATCCAATCACCCATTCCCTCAAAGCGTCGTCGTTTTGTGAATCTCGTAACTAATACATTGTACGCAAGCTCAACTGAAAGAAAGAATATGACTGGTCCAACTAAATATTAACCAGAAGTCCAGAAGTATAGTCTACTATGCAACATGAAAACAAAATCAATTGCATCTTTTAAACAGATTTATGGATCGTTACGAGTAATCATAAGATATCTTAACTGTTTGTATCGTATTATTTTATTATATATTTATTGAAAATTGTAAATAAGTTCAATTATTTAATTAAAAAAAAAAGAGAGAATAAGATTTAGTGAAAAAAAGAGCGAGAAAATTGGAAAACGGGAAGGGCGGTTCCCTCCTCTCGGATAGATAAAAGGAACGGAGGATCTCCTTCACACGTTCGTCTCTTTTAGGACCGTTCACGATAGGTGACGTTAAATGACTTCCTTGTCCCTTTCATCTTCCTCCGCCTCAACCGTCGCCGCCGCTTCAGCAGCTGCAACCGCCTACGTTAGGTTACCGGCGAAGGTGCTCAGCTCTCCGAGTGTCCGTGGTTTTGTCTCCTTCAGATTTTCCGATCGTTGGCCTGTTCGTTCGCGAGCGGCGCCTTCTGTGGGTGTGAAGGCGTTGTCGAAGCTCGTCCAGGAGAAGGAATCTGTTGTCTCGGCGAGCTCCTCCGCCGGAGAACACGAGCAAGTGAGACGGAGTAGGAGGACGAAGGAGCTCGATCATTCGCGCGTCTTCCTGGATGCGCGCAGTGAAGAAGGTCAGATCGTTTACTGATTCTTCGCTTAGGAATTTGATATTTTACGTGTTTGGCTTCCGGTAGAAATCAAATCAGGAAGAGGAATGCGAGGAAGTTTTCGATATTAGGCGATGTCAGATTCCTTGTTTGACATCGCCTAATATCGAAAACTGGTAGAGCTTAATAGAACTCTTGTTTGATTTCCTTGGCAATTCTTTCATAGATTATGAAGTATACAAGAATGAGAATTATAATGAAACTGAATACATTTCGCAGCCATCATACGTGCTCGATTTTGTTACTTGTTTGACTGGAAAAGAGAACATTGGCTCTTCATAGATGATGTTAGCATGAGGAAATGAGTTACGTGTCGTATCTGCCTTTGCACCCTGTACGTTCACAAGGTTTGTCTTTGAAAAATTTTAGGAGCCTTGTAAAATGGGTCATAGGATTTCAATAATGAAGAAGATTCTTGGTGTCTACCCGTGCCAATAATATAATCGTGTTTTTGTAATTTTCTTTTTAACATTTTCTTCTCTTTTCTATGCTTTGCCTGTTCAGATCTTTTGTCTGGTATCAGGAAGGAAACTGAAGCTGGAAGGTTACCTCCTAATGTTGCATCAGGAATGGAAGAATTGTATTGGAATTATAAAAATGCAGTAAATGAATTTACTCAAACTAATCCTTTTATCACTAGCTAATTTATATCGTTGATGTTATGATCTGGAGATCTGAGAGAATAATGCCAGCAGGCCCGTTATTTCGGAATTCAATGACTATTCTTCTTGTGCATGATGTTTTAGGTTCTAAGTAGCGGCGTATCGAGGGCAGATGAGATTGTTTTATCTAATATGTCTGTTGCTTTTGATCGGATGCTTCTCGATGTGGAGGTGCTTTCTTGTGGCGCCCCTATCTCAATCTCTCTGGATGTCTTGTTGTGCAAGTAGCTAGCATCTGAATTTTGCGACTACTTAAGAATTCATGTCATAATCCTGCAGATGATCTTTTCAGGATCCTTTCACTTTTTCTCCATACCATAAAGCGATCAGAGAGCCATTTGACTACTACATGTTTGGTCAGACTTACATCCGTCCTCTAATTGATTTCAAGTAAGCTGACATTTTCAGTACTGAATTATCAAATCTAATCATGTAGCACGCTAATGCAATGAATATAATGGGAAACCGAGACTGTTGTTCGAGATTTTGTGATTTCGGTTTCACTTGTGTGTTCAATGATCTTCTTACATTCTTTTATTTCTTCTGTCAGCAGACCTTTAAATTCAACCATGTAGCACACTAGTGCAATGAAAAGCATCGGAAACGGAGACTGTTCTCCTAATTTTTGTTTCACCTACGCATTCAGTTATCTTCTTACAATCTATTTTTTTTTGTTAACTACAATCTATTGTTTTACCTGTTAACATACCGTCAATTGATTCCCACAGAAATTCTTTCGTTGGAAATGCTTCTATTTTCTCTGAGATGGAAGACAAACTTCGGCAGGTTTTATCGTCATCTTTTTGCTAGTCTATCGGTTTCACCCTTTCTTTTGCTCTCTTTGACTAACAACAGTATTCTAGTTTGTTAACACTAGGACTTTTGTTTCCAGCAGTAGATGTGAGCTCTCATTTTTAGTTGCATAACATATAATTGGTTCACTGCAGGGCCACAATGTTGTGTTGATATCGAACCATCAAACCGAAGCTGATCCTGCAATCATCTCCCTTTTGCTTGAAGCAAAATATCCTTACATAGCAGAGAACATTGTAAACCTTGTAACCTTGTTATGAGGTTCCTCTTTAATGCCAGTGTCTGCATACTTATGTCCTTTTTTTTGGCGGCAGAAATGTGTGGCCGGTGACAGAGTAATCACTGATATCCTTTGTAAGCCCTTTAGCATGGGAAGGTATTCTATTCTGACTTGCCTTTTGAAAATGGTATGCCACTTGTTGGTTGATTCTTGACTAAGCATGCTTATGCAAACTTTCTCCTTTTTCCAGAAATCTCATCTGTGTTTACTCTAAAAAGCACATGTATGATGATCCTGAACTTGTTGAGATGAAAAGAAGAGCGAACACACGAAGCTTGAAGGAGATGGCGGTGCTGCTAAGGTATACGCAGTCTTAGAACTTGGACCATAGCTTTTCAGGAACTGGTATTGTTAAGTTACACAGAAGCAGAAAACGGTAATCAATAAATGATTTTCGGCTGTAGGTCTGGCTCCCAACTTGTATGGATTGCACCTAGTGGTGGAAGAGACCGCCCTGATTCATCTACAGGAGAGTGGCATCCTGTAAGTGTTTAATGGAATGCAGAGAACACCAAAATCTTATTTCTATTCGGTAACCTGATATCTTTTTTCTGGTTGAATTATATACACCCTTTTAGTTGCACAGTTCACATAATTCCTTCAGATTGTGTTACATTGGCCCGTGGTTCTTGGACATTATTTTGTTTGTCTTGTGCTGATCAAGCCAAGACGAGGCCAAACCTTAACCCTGGATTTTCCACGCTTGAAAGACCTTTAAACTCTTCATACTTGATAATCTGGATCCTTCTATGTTGATTTACCTATGGATGCCATTGATCCAATAATTAGAACAAATTGGAACTTTCATATCAAATTTCTATGTGGTATTATCTACCATGAATGAGTTTTCAGGCATTTGACTGTGTAGCAGTAAAGGATAATCAAGTCATTGTGCTAGTTGCAGCTTTTTTTTCCATTATATTTGTACATACTGATACAAAGGATTCAGGCACCCTTCGATTCTTCTTCTGTGGACAACATGAGAAGGCTGGTTGAACATTCTGATGCTCCTGGACACATCTATCCGTTGGCATTGTTGTGTTACGACATCATGCCCCCTCCACCTCAAGTATGTTTATTCCCTTCTTCCCTTTGTGCTCTCGCTTTTATGTAACATGTTCTTCTCATTGCTCATTGCACATCTCCAGGTTGCGAAAGAGATCGGTGAGAGAAGAGAAATTTCGTTTCATGGTGCTGGGTTATCAATTGGCCCCAAGATCAGCGACACAAATGCTGCAGCTAATTGCAATAATCCTAACGAGGTTAGATGAAACACTTGACAGAGGAAACTTCACTTTGAGGCCTATTTCTACCTGATCTCAACCATTTTGCATAGTCTTCTACACCATTGTATTGAAGAAAAACCATCCTCTTTCATTTGCAGATTGATGTTGCACTGTATTTCTCTTCACCTTAATCTCCTTTCTTGTCCTATCATTCCCTTGGAATATAGTAACATATGATAAGCTATAGAGGCTTATATGTCTACTGGTTCTAACCCTGGTAGTTATCCGTGGCAGACCAAAGAAGCATATTCTCAAGCTCTCTATAACTCTGTGAAGGAGCAATATGAGGTTCTAAAATCGGCTATCCATGGCAGAAGAGGGCTAGAAGCATCAACTCCGACTGTCTCCTTGTCACAACCTTGGAGTTTGTGAATGCGTTCTCATCATTGTCTTGCCACTTCCTTTTTAGGTACATTATTCTTGTTATCGATGGTCTCATGGTGTGGAACTATAGGACCAAGTAACGGATAGACTTCTCTAATCTATCGCCCTGAAAATCCTGAGGATTCATTTTTTCTCTATCTCGTTTTCATTCTATAGATCATGTAAGATAACACTTCCTTGACCTTGCACCATCTTCTCCCTTGTAACATTGAACACTAGTAGGGTGATTCTTTTTTCCACGAGTCTCGTTAGAATTAAGCAAAGCCATTCACATTGCCTGGAGAAAATGAATGTCAGGTTTCCTTTTAGATTCTCTGATTCCATCCTGCGAATCCCCACCCATTCTCTAACGGCAACAGGTATTGTGCATTTTCTGCAGGTTACACCCCCTCGCAATGAAACGTTCAACCTAGATCGCACCGGGAAAATTCTGTCTCTGTATATATATATATATATATATATATTCGTTGTTTCTGGGTGTAGGAGCTGTTTTGACGGAGAACCCAAGGAGTGACCGGAAAACCAGCGAGAGAGGATGATGGGTCTGAGCAGCTGAGACAGGTGAGCGCTGCCTGGAAAAAAAAAACCAATGCCCTGGACACCCGCTTATGAGCAGCAGGTGACACTGGGTTATTTTGTACATATGAACGATTTGACTTTTGTTCCTTGCTGAAATTCTCAATTGATATCTTCATCATCTATCTTCGATTTTGGGTTCCTTCCATAGAGAAAAAACACACATACAAACACTTCTTTCTTTTCTTTTTTGTTCGAGAAAATTCCACGAAATTTCCAGTCTGTCTTCTTCATGTTAGCATCCTTATCTTAAGTATCTCGGGATATAAAACATGAATTTTCTCGAGATTCACGGTTTACGCAAGTAGAAGTTATTCAGTGTGTGTGGGGGTCGACACACAACGGTCCTGGAGGCAATTTCCGGAGAATATATCTGTTGGCGGGATATAAAGAGCAGGCCAACTTTGGTCCCATTCAATTTTGTCCTACAGTTTTAATTGATCGCGCTTAGCTTCTATATCATGTAATTTGCATGGCATTTATACGAATACGGAACAGTAACTAAAGCAATTGACACTTTGAATTTCATATTTTATTATGATTGGACGTGTCCCTGTTACGATTTTGGAATCCTAAAATTTGGTTACACCATGAGAGCCTGCCTGGGACGGTCGAGTGGATGAGACCTGGTCGTCCCACGGGAAGCCACTCCTCAATCACTTACCGACTGTCAGCCAGCGTGATCTCGTGTTGGTGCAAATTTCGGATGGATGTTACGGTTCGGCCAGACCATTAGCCCAGGATTTTTTAAGCGCGTGAGATTTACTCGATCGGGGTGCGCGTGGGGCTGTCCAAACACGCTTATTCGAATAAAGCCTTTTTAGCGGGCCCGAGCCCATTATAATGGTAATTTTATTGAGCCTAAGCCCATGTTTTGATCTAAGAACTCAATGGCCCATGACCGATAACAGACGGGGAGAGAGAGAGTGAATCGAATTGAATCAAATCAATTCGTGTGGGATCCGAATCTGTTTAACACGAAAAGCCTACTGGAACACACCGTCACCGTTGTTTCGCTCCAGGGATCACTGTTTTCTTCGCCGCCATTTCTGCAGTGGATAGAGCTTGTTGGGGAGAGCGAGAGTAGAAGATGAGGAAGCGAACGATGTACGGATGGGGAGTGGGGATAATATGTTTCGTGGTGTTGATGATCGTCACACCCGCGATCCCTCAATCTCAGGCCTACCACGATTTCGCAGACCAACGCACCTTCTTCGGTATATTCGTCTTCTCAATCTCTTGTCGTTGTCTCATGTCTGAATCCTCTGATTTAAGCTTTTTGGGGTTTACTTTGTAGGAATTCCCCATGCTCTGAATGTCATCTCTAACTTCCCCTTCCTTATCATCGGCCTCGTGGGTCTCGTGCTCTGCTATTACCCCAATTACTTCAGATTCAGGCGCGTTTGCTGTTTCAGTCCTTTTTTTTCTTATACTCGTAAAATTTTATTTCCTATCATTATTGTCACGATTTAAATCCCCGTTTATAGTTTTCATTCTCTGATAGATTTTTATGCAAAAGTTTGACATGTTTCTTTCAGACATTTATCACAGAAACGAGTTGTTTCAGTGCAAGGAATGTGTATACGATGGAAAATTTTCTTATGAGGAATCTCTGTGATGTTTGAAGTATCATTTTTTGTGAATGGAAATGGAACAGCCTGCGAGGTGAGAAATTGGGATGGACTTGCTTTTTCATTGGCGTGGCTTCTGTTGCATTCGGATCCTCTTACTATCATCTCCACCCAGATGATGCACGCCTTGTCTGGGACCGCCTTCCTGTATGATTCGGTTCCTTCTTTTCAGTGTTTATGTTTTTCTTCTTTGCTCCCCCGGTTTACACGCTAATTTGCACAGATGACTATTGCCTTCACATCCATTATGGCTATATTCGTTATCGAGAGGATTGATGAACACAAGGGTACTCTCTCCATCGTCCCTTTGCTTCTTGCTGGTCTTGTTAGCATTTTGTACTGGAGGCAAGTTTGAACCTTTCTCTAATGCTCACACCATCTTGGCCAGCATGCATGAGATAATAATCTATCATCTCTCTCTCTCTCTCTCTCTCTCTACAACTGGATGTGCAGGTTTTTTGATGACCTTCGGCCGTATGCGTTAGTCCAGTTTGTTCCTTGCATTGTCATTCCGCTGATGGCCATCCTATTGCCTCCAATGTACACACATTCCACCTATTGGCTTTGGGCTGCAGGTTGTGCCTTGCCTTAGGTTGATTAGTGGCTTCAATTGCTATGCACCCAAAGTTTCATTTTATGGTTTCTCATTCTGGATTCAATCACCCGACTGCAGGATTTTATCTCTTAGCCAAGGTGGAAGAAGCTGCTGATAAGCCCATATACCGCTGGACCCATCATATCGTGAGCGGGCACACTCTGAAGCATTTGTGTGCCGCTATGGTTCCCGTCTTTCTTACCCTGATGCTTGCGAAGAGAACCGTTGAAACAGAGAGGTAATGCGCTCTCATATAAGACAGTGATAATTTGACATTCTTGGCTATTGCAAATGCTGCTAGAGCTTTGTTGATGATGTTCCGTAAATCTGGTTTTTATGTCATCTGGTCTGAATGCAGGATGAGCTTGCTGAAGACATGGAAGATCTCATGGACAAGGATTAGAGGTAAGGGCTCGGAGTCTGAAAGCTACGAATGTATTTACTCAAACGTAGCAGTCACCGAGTCTCAGTAGGGTTGTGTTGGGTGTCTCTATCTCATGTAAAATAACATCTTCCACTTATTGCTGAAATGAAAGGGATAGATAGAGACACGTTGTTGCATTGTACATCGAGCCTGTGATTTCTTTGAATATTTCTGAAATCCGTGTCGTTTAACTCATCTTACATCCAACTGCTCGCTGTTTGAAATACTTTCCAAAAGCATGTCGTTTATCTCGCGCAGTAGCCAACTTCGTGGTGTTCCCAGTATTTTCTGAAGTTCATGTCGTTTTACTCATTACAAACTGTTTCCTCTTTTTTAGGGAAAATCTCATTAGAGACTTGGAGTACAGGAATTTTATAATGTCTTAAAAGTATATTAATTTTCAATTTTGGTACATACAAATACAATAATTTTTTTTTGTCAAATCGATATAAAAAAGGACAATGTAAATTTGCCGTTACTTTTTCATAACGTATCCATTATGATTCGGAAATGCCACATAGATGGTACGTACGTGTATCAAATTGTAAGATGTATATATGCATTGTAAATTGATATATTTATATAACATATTTTGTCAAACGTTTTTACTACATCCAAACACCAAAGCTGCGGTTCACTCCTCCAGAAGCCGGCTGTCGGCTTTTTTTTCTTCCAAGTTTTAGAAATGCACGTTATTTAACTCAAATAAGCGTCGACTGCTTGCTGTTTTTTCTAAGTTAAAACTATATCCACTAATACTACTTCCTAGTTCCTACTTACACACACTCACCATCCTCTCGTCATTCATTACATCAGAAAAAGCTTAAAGAACTAAAGAACCATTCGATCATGGGTGGATTCCTAAAATCTACTACGAAACCTCTTTTGTCCGTCAGAACATAACTGACAGAGGGTGCCGGAGAAATGCCATTGCATTGCAACTTCATACCTTCATTTGCGGAAATGGTTGTTCTAAGAGCCACCATTGGTGACGTTCGTCTGAACATCCCGGTCTGTGGTGGTGTTGTTTGGTTCTTGGTCATTCCTGTCTGAGTTTACGCCTTTGAGGGAAGGGAATTCCATAAGTTGATTCTGCAAGAAACCAGGAAAAGAAACGGGGGTATTCGGCTTATGGGTTTCGCCAATTCAGAGGTCACACTATTACTTGGTCTCAGGTCTTGGATTCAGAAGGTTTATTACCTTAAGGGAGCTGTTCTTGGCAAGAAGCTCTTCGCACAGACTCTTGAGTTTGTTAACCTCTGTCCTAAGATTTGTGTTTTCTTCAACTAACGTCTCAGCTCGTTGTGCCAGCTCATCACATTCCGCCTGACCCGAGAAAAGATTAAAAAAAATTGCTCGTTTGCTTGCATATAACTTATGTGCATGGGTGTACTTCTAGAGGCAATGTCTTATGTTTAGTACCTGTTTACGCAATCTGGATCTACGAGCAGACTCTCGGTTTGACTGCTTCCGCCTCTGTCGCTTAAGCTCTCTTTCATCCTATACACAATGAACAATATACAATTACAGTATCAAAATGCTTTGAATTGGATATTGACCTACAGTTTGGGTGAGGAGGACAGAGGGAACATACATACCTGTAGCCAGACTAGTGACTGGGCACCATCTCGCGAGCCGGGAGCAACAACTCCTGGAACTTGAGCAGAAGAAACCTTCCCATGCATTCCGGGAATAGAGGGTGAAGTGTGAGCGCCCCAATAATCCATCCCGATGTTTAAATTTGTGGTTGGACCAGCCGAGATTGGCATGATTGGCACGGTCGTTACCAGAGCTGCAGTCGCACTTCCATTTTGCAGGCCATGACCAGAACCACCATTTTGTGATGCTGCTTCAGCTGGAATGGCCACACACACAACACAACACTCTAAATACGCAACTTGCATCTTTTAGTCACATAAAAATACAAAGAGGGTACTAACCAACCTTCTTTTGAATCTTGTCTAGTTCCAGAATCCTACAAGAATTGCAAATGAAAAATCAAAATTGTATGTTTCGACTACAAAGATCAACTGCTGTGAATTAATGAGAGACCATGCCGACTACAAAAAGGCCTCGACACACCAGCATGCACAATTTTTGTGCTAATGTTCAAATATGGATTTGCATGGAACATAATCAGACTTAGGAGATCAACATATGTGATCAGCAGCCCAAAATGGGAAGGTTTTATCAGACGAAAGCTTGTATCTTCATATAAAAATCCAGTTTAAACTCATCCCATATATGTTCATTTCTAAAATTCAGGCCTGCAGAGTCAACCAGGCAAGTTTCCTCGAGGAAACGAGGCAACCATTAATGTTGTCCTCTCAGTGATAGCCAGAACAAGTTTATACTCGTAAATTTAGGAGCAAATTTTAAAAGGAGGAATGGACAACAAAACTGGCAAAACTTACATTTTGAGAGTTGGAGTCACTTCCTTCACTTGTACCCTCTGTTGCGCTCTCAGCACTGTGAATCGAAAAATGTTCTAATCTCAGCAAAAGCAATAATAGAATGGTATTATCTTCTGGAGAAATGTAATGAACATTCTATGTAATAACAAAGTATAGACACACCATGTCTTCTAAATTTTATAAAACAAAAACAAAAACCAATGTACATGCCTTTTGGAATAAACTCCATTAGCTGACGCCCCTGAGGTCTGTCCAGGCTCAATGTTCTTTCCAATATCCATGTTCAAACTGCTCAGGCTTCCTCTTGATCTTTTAATAGGCAATTTTTCCTTCCCCTCAGATTGTTTAGCATCACCCTCAATGCCGCCTGGAATTTTATAATGTCTTAAAAGTATATTAATTTTCAATTTTGGTACATACAAATACAATAATTTTTTTTTGTCAAATCGATATAAAAAAGGACAATGTAAATTTGCCGTTACTTTTTCATAACGTATCCATTATGATTCGGAAATGCCACATAGATGGTTCCCTACAATTAGTAATTTCTCCATCATTCTTCCACAATAAGCACAAACAACGAAGTCCAGTCAAGGAGGAAACTGTTGAAAAATGGATAGAATGCAAACTCACGGAGGCTTCGGCAATTCCATTTGGAGAAGGCATTGCATAGGGACTAAATGGATAAGATCCCTGTTACAGGGTCAAGCATGTTACATAGGTTAAAAGATCCAGAATTTTGAGTATTATGGCTGCTGCAACTTAAGATCCTAAAAATATCAGTACCGGAGGTAACGAAGGATGAGCATATATGCCACCTGGAGGATACATTGCAACGTAAGGATGAGGTGGTGTTCCATAAGGAGGCATCATATGCTGCAAAAGACATATTTTAAGTAAAAGTTTCATTCAGTTCACAGCAGAATGATCATAACGAGCTGAAACACTCATTGTTTTTCAACGGGGTTATTCAGAAAATTGCTTAAAATATATCAATCAAAACTGTTAATAAGAGGCCTTTGCAGCCCGGCATCATGAACATTGAGATGCACACCCATAACCCCAAAAAATACATAATTGGAAGATTTTATTAACTTACTTGCACCCCCCACATATAAGGGTGAGCTTGGGGACTTGATGCCACAAAACCATGAGGCGGCATAGGAGAATAAGCCTGCTAAAACAAAGGAAATGGATCTCAGAAACGACACAAAGCAACAAGAAACCAGGTAATACATCCAAAGACACGATAATCGCTCTTAGACCTGGAAACCCGACCAATCTGGAGTTGCCATGCCAGCAGTAGCAGCAGAAGACGGCTCCTGAAAACATGAAAACATCACAATCACACCGCCGATACCATAAGATTGCTAGCTTTAGTTACAAAAGTGCCAGACCTGTGAAGTAGCAGGAGCTGAAGAAGGCGGTGTCTTAGGCTCCTTCTCTTTAGCCGACTTATCTGCCTCGCTGCTACCCATAGTTACATTCACCAACTTCTACAACTTCCTACAAGACAATACCGCCAAATTCGTGAGGTGCATTATTTACACATACAAGCAACCGCATCAAACACTCTTGAGTTTTCAAATGTCACAAATTTCATGCGAATATATCCTTCTGGGCAAAGGGCATTGACCAACACAGTTACCAAGCATCTCAGACAAACCTACTGATAATACATAACAACTAAAAGGCCTAATCTTTTTCACCATGTTTAAGAGCAAATCAAGAACAGGTTGAATAGAAAGAGAAACATACATGAAAACACAGCTGCACTCAACATGCAATACCCGCAAGTAAACAGAATGCCAAACCTAAAATGTCGTTAACGATGCCGAAATCGACAAAGACGACTACAAAAAACACAAATATAACAGGAAAATCGCCCTAAAGGACCAACGCCGAACCCAGGTCAGAGATGAAAAATTAAAGCCAGAAATTCAACAGATAGCAAGAACATTAATGACTTTTTTTTCAAACGAAATTGAATCTAAGGATCGGCAGAAAAATACCTTACGATCGGAAAACGTCCGAACAATTTGGTCGAAACTGGAGATGGGTAGAAGAATTATGAGCTTAATTGCGAGAATCGAAGAATGAAAAGAGAAATTGGTGGTACAGTTTCTCCGAATGGTTTGAGCGATCTGACGGGGAAGAGGAAGGAGCGTGGGTAGGCTCACGAGGACCTCGTACGGCAATCGAGTTCCTCCCCCCCCCCCCCCCCTTTTTTTTTCTT